ATTAACTAATAACTTATTTAAATTAGGTATTATGGAAGTAATTTTAATAAACAAAAAATAAAATAATATTTGAAACGTTTAACTACCTATATATAATTTTAATATGGTTTTAGAAACAATTTCAATGGATTAAACTATATTTTTTAACATGTAATAAATCATATAATTAATATTTCAAAAAAAATGTAATTCGATTGTCGTCTAAGTAAACATTAAAATATTTAAGATATATTATTATATTTGTTTTCATAACATTCGTTCTTGTATCGGGAAAGTACAATATCTCCAGGGCTACCCAATTTTATTTTTATAATAATATTTTACATTACACTATTAAGAAGAACCAATATGTAGGTATTTTGTTTTAAATTGTCTTATTTTAAAATGCTTAAGGCTGTTTTAATTTTTAAAACTGTTTTTCTTCCAAGCTCAATGCAACTAACGGGTGACTCGTGGCTCCTTATTCACTCAACCTCATAATCTTTTTTTTTATTTATTCTAATCTCACATAGGTATACTTATTGTGCTTGAATGTATAGATTGTAAATTTGTTGTAAAAATAAAAAAAACTGTTTTGATTGTATTCCAATAACTATAGTTATTTTATTAACAGAAAATTTTTTTTTTTATGTAAGCACCTAATTATATTAAATATAATCATAAAAATAAAAATAATATAGAATTATATTTACCTACATATCATTTTATGGCAAACAGTGAACATAAAATCAATTTTTGCATGTTGTATTTTTGGTGATTGAATGCAATCTACTCGACAAGACAATTTCCTTTGGGAGTTATCATTATATACATATATAATATATAATATATAATATATATATATATATTTATGCTTTTATTTTGTTAGTTTTGCGTCCACAGAAAATACATTTTCAACATAGGTATTTTGTTACTTATGATCCCGTGGGTTTAACTCATTTTTCGGTTACTCCATTCATCCATATTTGATTTGGAAATATTATCAACACTTACGGTATTTTTCTTAGTACATTAACTCAGTGACACAAATTTATTATCACTGCATACGTGGCATATAAACCATTTTTATCTTCAAATAATATAACAACATATTATGTGAATAAAAATTACATTAAATTACATTCAAATATTCAATCCCATCATAACTCTTAAGTGTATATGTTTAATTTAGGTATAAATGAAGTTTACTAATATTGAGTTTAAATTTTACTAAACCTTTGATAAAAACAAATATGTAAACAAAATTAATAGATACATCATATCAGTATCGACAAATATTGTAAAAATTGATTAGTATCTATCAATTAATCTTTTACAGTAAAATATTTACAGTTTATCAAAATTAACAAAACATAGTTATACATCAATATATAAGTGAGGGGCCAGTGAAAGTCATTGCACCCACTGGGATTTTTTTAATGAACAAAAAAATCAGTGTATAATAATGTAGATAACCTATATATGTATAACATAAACTTAATTTTGCACCCACTGAGCTGACTTCCTGCGAGCACCCCTGTATAGTTTATTTAGTATTTATTTATTTATTCAGCCAAAACAATTACAATTAAATAATTACAATAAAATACATTAATAATATCTGATACGAATACCAACTGAGCTATAAGCTCGTATCTGGTATACGAAGTTCAACGATATTACAATTCGTTTAAAGTAAAATACTAAACTTATACAAATAAAAATATGATATAATTAAATAACAAAATAATTGTTATAAAATGTGTAATAATATAATATGTGTAGATGTGGATTTAACTATGAGACTTTAGTGATTTGTTTTAATATGATGCTACTTTAAATATTCATAATACTCAACTTTAGTGCCTATAGGTACTTAAGCAAAATATTTAGTGTACTCATTTTTCATGTAATAATTCGAATTCACTTTTCAAAAAACAAAATATGGGATTTGTGTACATTGTATATAATAATTGATGTTTTATGTTAACTTTGCCATCAATCTACTAACTATGACAAACCATTGATAATTTATGTAATACAATAATGTTCAGCTGTAGTAAAAGGAAACTGTAGAATGTTATAAATAATATTCGATGATAATGCCATGACTAAAAATAGTCTATTTTTTATTGTTATAATTATTATTAATACCCATATCAGTATGGTTATCGGTATACTTTATACACAAAACCATGTTCAAGTTATATAAAATAAATCTGATAAATTAAAAAAAAAGAATTAATAGATTTTAGTTTCTGAATAGGTGGCTAGGAGTTTGCTTAAGTTAAGGGGATGTAACAAATTGCCTATGATAAACTAATTTTACTATCTAAAAATTTAATTTGATAACTTTTTCCAAATTATAAAAGTATATAATCTTGTTTATACAACCAGAAATATAAGACATGAAGTATAATATGTAATAAACAAATTATGTCTATGTCTGTAATCGAGTAGTTAATCGACAGTATTTTCTCTTGTCGTTTGTAGAAACAAATACCATGTAATTTGCTTATCTTAATGACAATGCTTTATTATTTTTAAACCGAAGGAGAGTTTCGTTTTAAAAATAAAATACCTACATCAACTACCTATGAATATTTTAAATTTTAAATAACTTAATAATATAATATTATGAACAAAATCATAAACTCTATAAACTTAAAAATGTAATTTCAAAAACAAAAAATAGCATTCTCATTAATTATGAAAAATGATTTGATTATATTTTAATATGCTTCATTAGTATGACTAATTTTTTTTAAACAAAATTATTGTATCAAGTATTAATTCTACTTTAACTCTAGTTTGAAAATATTAAATTACTTTTAAAATCGCTATCGGTGTTTTTATTATTATTTTCAAGTTACATAATTTTTAATAATAAAATAGAGATGAAAAAATGGTTATATGTTTTTTAAATAAACAATCACATATTATGATACATATAACTTAGGAAAATATTAATTAAACAGAATAAATTATAATGTATATTATTATTATACTGCAAGTTATTAAAAATAAAAACTAAAAGTGCTTGTAAAGTCTTGTAATATAATATGCATCGATTGAATAATAATTTATAGTATTAAAAATTTGTGTTTATATAAATTATACTCGAAACATTGTACACTTAATGTAACACCTGCAGTTAATGTTTCTGCATGAATCGATTTTCTTGTTTCATGTTACACCAATTATGTTTAAGTGTAATAACATATTAATCTACCTATATGTTGTACTGTATATAATTTTATATTTTCCCGCCTAAAATATTGATCCATCTAACTCAATTCTTCGTCTCTATTCATAGCGTTCTCAAATACGTACGTTACTCGAATAACAGAACAGCTAAAACATTAGCACCCATCGAATGTTTCAAGAAATAAAGTCCCACACTCCCACATACACACGATAACAAAGTAGGTACTATCCGTACCAGTAGGTAGTGCGTACTACGTATAGATGTGCAAAAACATAAACAGAAACTTACAAAAAAAATCTCCTTAACAACCACAGATATTGCGTTTTGGTATCCATGAAATAACCACCCATGCTAACACCATGTTTAAAAATTCAGAGTGGCAAAAAATCTATTTTTTTCTACTTTTGTCACCAAGAATGACCTAGGTGCCCTTATTTGGGCCTACTTTAAACAGGTATAAGCATATTATGCTATTAATAAAGTCATTCTTCAATAAGTGAAAAGAAGCACATTTATTAAAGGCTTTGTTGTAAAATATAGAAAGGAAGAAAATAAAGGGTGGCAGGTATAATAAAGGAATTCCTAGTCGTTTGGCAATCTATCATAAATTATAATAATAGTCTTATAACACCTTAGATGTATAATATGTTCCCAAGCAATGGATGTCATATTAATTTATTGTACATATCTTGTTCAATGATGACACACTATACCATACATGTTAATAATAATAATATGACATCATCCATAGCCACCCCTAATACGCACTTGAAGTATGGATTTTCATTCATTTTTAACTAAAATTGCATGACGCTGATAACTATGTGGTAATAATTTATACAATATTATTGAGAACGACTTACAATTGCAATCAAAAAAGTTCAGTTTTAAAGCGAATGCATACAAATAATTATGTATATTATAATATACGTAACTATAATACGAACAATTAAAAAACTTGTATACATTATACAAACATAATCAAATAAAAGAATCCAGACACAAGTAGCACAGTAAATAGTAAATTATTATTAGGTATACATGTTAAAAATACAATAATTACAAATAATAACAATATAATATATAGTATACTTAAATAGATATTTCTTATATGGATTGAAATTTTAGAATTTTTTAGAAAATAAGTTTCTGTGTAGGTACAATGATTTGTAATCATACATCAAAACAATAAAAATTAAAATAAAATAATGTATTTTTGATCAACCTATTGATATACAAGTGTATATATATATATATTTAATAGTTTTTGTATCAATAATATTTTATTTTTAATTTCTATACCTAATTTTGTCTAGAAATCATAATATGTCATAATTAAATGTAGGTGCATTTATTTTATTTTGATTTGAAGAATTAGTAAGTAAGTAAGTAAGAATTAGTATGTTTAATCAATAATCAATAGTCTATTAAAAATATTCACTATAGTTTAATTGTTTATAATTTATGAACATGTATAAAAAATATAAAGTTGTTCAGTGTTCACACTTGATTGTTTCTTTGTTAGGTATATTTAATCAAATATATTCACATTACGCAGCCACTTTTTTTGATATCATTCGATCAAATAATCGTTTAAATAGGTAGGTACATATTTTAGCAATAAAACTATAGCTCAGTACGTGTTCGACCTCCGACCGATACACACGTGTGTTCCCGGTCTACGTTAATCGCATTTATAGCTTCCGATAGCAGTATACCTACGTGAACGCTCCAATCGATAAGCCTAAGGTATGTTGCTTTATTTCGCCCCCCCCTAGCCTCAGTAACATCATCTCCCATCCATCTCCTCACGATGGATAACTTAAATTCAACCTCCAATGTCACTACACCCTCAGTTCAAAAATCCAATACTCAAAAAACTTTCGCAGAAACAACCGCCAACGTTCAATTTCCTAAAAAAGATCAAGCAGTAATATTTAATACCATCGAAGACTTACCCCAAATCGAATACATAAGAGCATTTAGTCAACTTACTGATCCAAACAATATTAAATTTGCTTCACGCATATCAAATAATCGATTTTGTATCTATTTTGCAAACAAAAATATCGTAGAACAGATTATCACCAAGCAGCCGTTCATTGTTATAAACAATAAGGAGATAGCCTTTCGCCGTCTTATCAACCAAGCCAAACGTATAATTGTGTCCAATGTACAACCAGTCATACCGCACGACGTAATTACTAATGCATTCAACAATTTATCAATTAAAATAGTTTCACCGATAACATTTATGAAAGCAGGTTTCGCTAATGATGAATTTAATCACATAGGAAGTTTTCGTCGTCAGCTTTATATACATCCTGACGACATCAATAAAATGCCCAGTTCAATTCTAATTAATTTCGAACAAACTGATTATCGCATTTTTCTATCAGATGATACAGTGATATGTTATCTCTGTAAACAAACCGGCCACACTTCTAATTATTGCAAAAAAGAAATTATAAATAAATCCCAAACCATTTTCGTCGAAAACCCTAATCATGTCTCCAATAACACAGACGCAGATAATAGTATGCTAATTGACTCAAATTCAAACAGCGAATTTCACACAACCCTCCACAACAACTCGAATCCTATCATCAACCATACGGAAACAGATAATAATGTTCTAATCGATCTAAGTACAAATAGTGGGGACAAAAACATAAAAACCAACATCGAAAACATTGTCGAACAAGCATCCAAAAACCCTCCCCCCACTCAAACCCCATCACAGACACCAAAAAGGCCAGCCTCATCCACCTCCAGCACCTCCCCCTCTATTAATCCATCAAACGTTAATAACCAAATTAATAGCTCTTCATCTCAAATCAACACGCAAATTCAACAACCAAAGAAGGTAACTCTGTCAGACAAGCTACTAGATTCCGCGAAAACTCCCCAACCACAATTAAAAAAACAAAAAAGATCAAATTCATTGGAACAGATCATATTAAAGCTGGATCAAACCCTTGAACCAGCAAAAATCGCATTTGAAACAATACCAAATTTAAAAATAAACTTTACTCAACTAAAATTTATCATCGAAAACACAATAGGTGTACCCAACCCTATGAGTATCATACAACCCTTTAACTTATCAGCCATGGAAATGATTGTAATCATTGACACTATCCGCCCGAAAATCAAGAATACAGCTTTTAAAAACAGGATTTCAAAATTATACCAAATAATATTAGACTCAACTGTATCCGGAGATCCTGTTTCCACAGAATAATTCCAAACCAACCAAAAATCAACGTATAAAAAAAAAAAAAAAAAAAAAAAAAAAAAAAAAACCTTATTTTTAATCATTATGCAGAACATAAACTTAAACAAATTCCACATCATTCAATGGAATCCTAATGGATTCTATTCAAAAATCGATGAAATTAAACTATTAGTCAACAAATTCTCTCCAATAGCACTATGCATCCAAGAAACAAATTTCAACAACCACAAATCAATTCATTTAAATAACTATTCTAGTTATATTAAAAATAGAAATCACGCAGGCAGAGCCAGCGGTGGAGTGGCCATTTTTATAAACAATATTTTTCCTTCGGAAGAAATTACCATATCCTCACATCTTGAGGTAATAGCTGTAAACATGACAGCCAAAAGCAATTTAACCATTTGCAATATTTACTTACCAAACTCTCAAGACTTCAACGCTTCTGATATCCAAAATATTATTGATCAACTACCCACCCCATTTATCATTCTTGGTGACTTCAATAGCCACAACACTCTGTGGGGCTGTAATGTCACCGACCATAGAGGTACCAAAATCGAAACTATACTTAATACCAATAACATCAACATTCTCAACAATGGCCAAGCAACTAGAGTTAACTCTAGTAATGGCAACCTTTCCGCGATTGATCTAACCTTCTCCTCCGCAACAATATCACCCAATTTAGAATGGGACATCATTCCTGAGCTTTCTAGTAGTGATCACTTTCCAATAAAAATAACGTTATGTTATACCAACCCTTATGAAATACACACTCGTAACCCTAAATGGAAATTATCCAATGCTGATTGGAACATCTTCCAAACGGAAATCGAAAAAAATCTAAGAAATTCATCTTTTCTTAATGAAAATACTATTGATGAAAACATTGAACAATTTAGTAAACTAATTTATGATACAGCCTCAAATACCTTTGAACAATATAGCTACTCTGGAAAACGACCCCCGGTCCCTTGGTGGAATAAGGATATTAAACACGCTATAAGAAATAAGAAGACATCGTATAACAAATATAAACGCACAAAACAAATCCAGGACTTTATTGATTTTAAAAAAAACAAAGCACAAGTAAGATTTTTAATCAAAAATGAAAAAAAAAAATCATGGATAAATTTCACTTCAACACTAAATTCAAAAGAATCAGCTACAAGAATTTGGAACAAAGTCAAAATCATAAAAGGGATCCCATCGGTACAAATTAAAACCATTATAACAGACAATACAACTCATACCGAACCCCACACAATAGCTCAATCAATTGGCCATCACTTTTATTCAAATAGCAGCAACGCCAACTTAAATTCTGATTTCCTAAAACATAAACAAGAAACAGAAACTAATAATTCTTATTTCATATATGAGAACCAAAGCTTAGGAGACATTCTAAATGAACCGATAACATTATGTGAACTAAATACAGGTCTACTAGGAAAAAAGAGCAACAGTTGTGGTTCGGACAAAATCCCATTTATTTTTTTACAAAACTTACCCCCAAGTGGCAACCTCCTACTACTTAAACTATTCAACCAGATCTGGCGTTCAGGGATATTACCAATCAAATGGAAAAATGCTATTATCACCCCCATACCCAAAAAAAACAATGATAGATTTAAGCCAACCGGTACCGACCAATTTCTGTCCTGTGCAGCATGAGCAAACTATTAGAAAAAATAGTATACAACAGATTATATTGGTTTGCGAATAAACATAAACTTCTATCACCCTTTCAACACGGATTCAGAAAGCACCATTCCACCACCGACTGCCACGTAAAAATAGAATCAGAAATACTGGAAACATTGGCTAATAAACAAATAATGATTCTTATCAGCTTAGATTTACAAAAAGCTTACGACACTGTTTGGCGTTACAGAGTGATCGAACTGCTAAAAAAATGGAACATTCACGGTAATATGATAAGATACTTAACTAACTTCCTAAGCCAAAGAACTTTTCAATTAAAAATCAGGGATTACATCTCTAATACCTTTGTATTAGAAAATGGAGTACCTCAAGGATCTCCGCTCAGTGTTTTCTTATTTCAAACCGCCATCAACAATCTTCCTGACTTCATACCAAAACCAATCAAATCAATTATCTTTGCTGACGATACACACATCTACGTTAGAGGAAATTCAATCCCTTCAATAACTAGAGTACTACAAAACTGCCTCAATGAACTGTCAAAATGGTGCTATAATTCAGGCTTTATTTTCTCTCCACACAAAACAAAATGTATCCTTTTTTCCAACAAAAAGAACATAACCAAACCCAAAATCTATTTGAATACCATCTGTCTACCTTTTACTGAAAACATTACTATTCTTGGCCTTACCTTTGACTCCAAATTAACATGGAAACCTCACATTCTGAAAACCAAAAAATCAGCCTACAAAAACCTAAGAGTAATCAAAACACTTAGTCATCTAGAGTGGGGTGCTGAGTATTCCATTCTATTAAATTTATATAGATCACTAGTTAGATCAAAACTTGATCACGGCTCAATCTGCTATGGAAACTCTAATTGTAATATATCCAAAATTCTTGACCCAATTCATAACACTGGTATAAGATGTGCAACTGGAGCCTTCAGAAGTAGCCCTATCTCCAGCTTATTAGCCATCACTGGGGAGCCTCCACTTAAATATCGCAGACTAAGACTATCACTCAAATATATAACCAGAATTTTGTCGACTCCTGATAATTCAACTATCCATTATTTAAACATAAACCAATCTTCATCTGTATATGATTTAAACACGAATCGCAGAAAACCACTAAGTACAAGACTTTGCAAAGAAATGTCCGACAACAACATCTCCCCTGATACAATCCTTCAATATGAAACCTGTCTCACTCCTCCATGGAGTGTACACAACTTCGAAATTGATACCAGTCTTAGTGCCCATGTAAAAAGAGAAACACCCGAAATAGTCTATCGAAATTTATTTAATGAACTAATTCATAAGGATAACCATAATAATTCACAAATCTATACAGATGCATCTAAAACGTCCACAGGCATAGGTCTGGCTGTTATACATGAAAGTTCCACTCAAGTATTCCAATTAAATAGTCATAGCAGCATTTATACAGCTGAATACATAGCACTTTTAAAAGGAGTCCAAACAGCTGTTAATACTAACTATGACAGAATCGACATATGTTCCGACTCACTCAGTGTTCTGTCAAATATAAAATATAATTCTCAGATCAATCCCTTAGTCATAAAGATAAAAAATATAGTAAATTCATCGAATAAATACATACGTTTTATATGGACTCCGGGTCACTGCAATATCAAAGGAAACGAAGAAGCAGACAAAGCAGCCCGAAATGCTATAAGTAACCCCAACTCCATAAAACTTTCTCTTATGTCGCCAGTAGATATTATCAGGAACGTTGACAAATACTGTATACAATTATGGGACTCAGATTGGCGTCAAGTTACCGAAAACAAATTAAGGGAAATCAAACAGTCAGTCGAACCTTGGCCAAAACTCAACTCTTCAAATCGAAAGGAAGATGTCATTATGAACCGACTTAGAATTGGTCACACGAGAGTTACTCATGGATACCTAATGGAAAAGACCGAACCACCAATATGCCGCTCTTGCAACACTTCCTTTACAATCAAACACATCCTCATCCACTGCCAAATATTCATGGAAGCCAGAAAAGAATGCGAAATACCAGACAATCTATATGAAGCCATAGGACCCTATGCTGACATACAAAAAATTATCACATTTTTAAAAAAAATTGAAATGTACAACTTAATTTAACTCTATCTTTTTTTTTTTTTTTTTTTTTCTATCTTTGTTTATATTTATTTATCATTCTTTTCCCCCCTTTTCTCTTTAATAATCATTGTAAAAACCCCCTATGTATAACTATATAATCTAATTATTGTAAGCTAATAACCATGATGTTGATGCTGTAACAATAAAAAAAAAAAAAAAAAAAAAAACTATAGCTGTAAAACATTTAAAAGATTATTATTAAATGCATTTCTCAAGATAATAATCTATTTTGTTTTATTCAATTCTAAATAACCCACAATTTTTCATTATCCACTCCTATATTTACTATGGTGCGCCATAATACATAATAACTATAGTAATAATTTTTAAATTTTGTTCTTTAATTGTATGAGTTTATATTTAAAATAATATGACATTTCTTTAATCTATTAGGTAGGTACAACTTTTATTGATATCAGGTAAATAATAATAATTGAGAGTTAATCAATGGTTAAACTGGAAGTCTGGCAGATTTAAGCAACAAAGCAGCACTATTGCCACTATTAGACAACCAGGCCGTACTTATAGGAAACTAGTGGTAGTGTTTTGTAGTCCCTCGACTACAAAACTCCATTGTTAAGACTCAAATATTAGTGGGGGGAAAGGGGGAATTCGAACGGTCAAAGAACTTATCGAATATATTCAAATAAATATCCAAATGTTTTCAATTCAATTAACGATATTCCCAAAATGGATCGTATTTCAGTCTTCGAGCTTCAAACATTAATTTGGAATTAAGTACTTATTATATTTAATGTTGTCTATTATTTCATCATTAAGTTGTTTGTCCATTAAATACATTGTGTCAGTGGCGCCGAACCTATATAGTAAGGGTGGCAACCGCCACCCCTTTTAAATGGGTGGGTGGTGGGTCCTGCTATGCAGGTGGGCAAATACCTAACAGAAGAAATTTGACGGCTAGATACTGAGTGTTCGATAAGTAAATTAGTACTTAGAATCAAAAGTGTAACGACTGACGACTGTAACGTCTATACACCGTGTCGCTGTATTCCTGTGTATTAATGAAATAGGTACCTAGTATATAGACGTATTCACTATAGACGTATAGTGAACAGTTTAAATTGTGTTATCTATTATTTTTACATTATCAGTTAGTGGTTTTTCGTACTGTGAAGTGGCTATTTTAGCCAACTTTTTTTATTGTAAAAACCAATAATG